AGAGAGAGAGAGAGAGAGAGAGAGAGAGAGAGAGAGAGCTTCATGAGCCGAGCTCTATTAGGCTCGAACTTGGCTTGAAGCTTGGTTGAAATCCAACCAAGCCGAACTCGAGCAGGTCGTGAAAAGCTCGGCTCGTTGCCACCCCTAAAGCTAAAGAAGACCTTAGATTTATGATGGTTGATCATCCACCAAGACGCTTTCTCATATAATTTGAGAAATCGAGAGATCTCATCACAATCTCTCATACTTGCTCTTAGAAACACATAGCTGTCATTTGTGAATAAAAGATGAGAAATGAAAGGGGTATTTCTAGCAATCCTGACCCCTGAGATTTTACCTTGACTCTGCATATCAGAAATGTTTGCAGAAAGCACTTTCGCTACTAGAAGAAAGAAGGTGAGAGAGGGTCGCCTTGACGTATGCCCTTAGAGGGATGAAACACTCTGGATGGGGATCCATTAACAAGAACCTGAATAGAGACTGTAGACAAGCATTGCCTGATCCAGTTTCTCTATTTATCATCAAAGCCCGTTTGGCTCATAACCTTGTCAAGGAAAGCCCAATCAAATCTGTCATATGCTTTAGTTTAGACATATCCAACTTGACAGCCAAATAATTCTTCTTTGTCTTTGATTTCTTCATGAAATGCATGGCTCCATGGGCAATGAGAATGTTATCTGTGATTTGCTGGTTGGTAATGAAAGCACTCTAAAAGGGGGTGATTAGGTCCTCCACCCCTGAATCAATTAGAACCATGATACATCCTCTGTAAGAACATATCGGGAAACTCCCGGAATGATACGTATCAACCGATACTTTGAAGCTTACATGGAAGTTGATATTCTTTGGCAAGCATTAATTAACTAAATTCTAACACATAACTCCCTTTTCAAATATTAGATACAACATAAAAGGAAGATATGATTGTGTTAAAATTAGCGGATAATAAGTAGTTGGTGCAAAGAAAGCCGGTGGTCTCACGTCACATCCCTATCAATGGAAATTTAATTATAAGTTACAATTAATAACTCAAGAATATATTCCACATCAATTCAAGAGTATCTGGAACTGGAAGCATCTCAGCTGCATGCTTACAAAGAAAGAAAAAAGAGAATATTCATAATGGGGATTTAAGTGAAAGATAAGTCATAACAACTCAAGAAGTTGTCCCATATCAGTTTTAGAGTATCTTGAAACATCTCAGTTGCAGCGCACATCCCTATCTTCTGACCCTGAAAACAAAATTGTTTAGAAACGAATTAATCTGTTAATCTTTTAGTTTTAGAATGTTAAGAATAGAAACATTCCAATGAATTAATTTGCTACAAGTCCTGAGAATTACAAAGCAATCAGGCTTCCAGCAATTTGAAGTGGAAGGTACTCAAAGTTAGTCATGTTTTGGGTAAAGTGCAGCTATCATACCTTGGATAAGAAAAACAACAAATTAAATGGAATTGTTGATACTTCTAATCAAATAGGAGTCGATAATAGTTTTTTTGTAAATCTCTTATGATTTTTCGGTTTGTTGGATATTCTAGCATATTATGCTAATCTTTGGTTTAAATTAATAAAAGTTTCTTTATTAATAAAAATATAGTAGCCTAATTCATTGAATTTGTTATGAAAATATTAAATTGTCCTTTATAATTTTTACCTATAGACAAGATTTGAAGTATTAAAAATACAAAAACTATCAAAAAGATAATTTTAAGAGACATATTAGGATATGTTTTGGATATAACTTGACCTAGTCAATTGGCCATTCCTTAATGGAGAAGATTTGGTTTGGGTGGATGTGGATGTGGATCGAAAATTTGTATAAATTCAATGCACTATTTAATAGCATCATGATTTGTATAAATCAATGGGGGGTTGGAAGGGACTCTTTTTCCATATAAATTTAAGTTACTAAAAGTTAAAATGATTTTATGGTTTAAAGAACGTCTGAAGGCTGTGTTTGGTTTGAAGGAAAAGGAAGGGAAATGTAGGAAAATCTTTACTAGATGGTTATTCTTTATTATTCTCAAGGAATTCGTTTAAAATACTTGGTAAGTATAACAAGCCAATGGTTTTTTTTTAATATCAATTCAAACAAATCCTATTTAATAGCATCATATTCTATTCTTCTAAGTTTCATTTTAAAACCATGATTTCTAATTAATTTTTTGCTACAATCATATATAAAGATTTTTTTTTCTTAATATAAACACTTCAGTACTAGATCTTCTATTTACTTCACCTTTTATATGGAATATGTAGCTTTTTGTTTGCTAATAAGTTGATCTTTAATGCATAAGAATATAACCAATATAATGAAAAATTAAATATTTAAGAATACAAATACATTTTTCTATACTAATACTAATTAATTGTTTTAGGTAATAAATACAAAAATATAATATGAGAAAACTTATTACAAGAGCACTAAATAATAAAACTCACCTGCAATATCTCATCAACAACTCCTGCCATCTCGAGAGTGATGTTCCTTGCATCCATCCCAGTTGATGATGTAAAATCAAACTGATCTCCATCATGTATTTTGAGCCTCAACAATGAATTTTTAAAAGACTTGCATTTTGAGTGATAAACTGCAATAACCTTGTATTTATCTTCAAAAGAATCTTCTACAGGCCATCTTAGGACTCCCTTTACATTTGGATCTATAACTGCCGACCTTATTAAATTTCCCAAGCTATTCTTTTGATCTTCCTGAAAGCAAATTGATAATAGTCAAAGTATTCCCATTTTTTCTCTTTATATATTAGAAAAAGAAAAATAAAAAGTATTTTCTAGCTAGTTTATGTAATAAGAAGCATTTGATAGCATGGTTTTCAAAATCAGACAGGGCCAGACGGTTGAATCGGAAAAACCGGGAATAGGTCCATTTCACCCAGAACCGTTATTTCACCAAAAACCATTGATTTGGTCAACAAACTGCTGATCCGGGCGGTCGAATCGTCCAACAGTTTTGACGATTTTTATTTTTTGTCAGAACAGGCCGTTCGTTCGATTCAAACGGTCATACTATTTGACCTGGAAATCGAACCCCTGACCGGTTCATTGTCCGATTTGATTTTAAAAACCTTATTTTTTAGATTAAACTTTATCATAGGGAAGAAATTAAGAAATTGGAAAACTAAGGAATTCCCCAAAAAGTATTTTTAGCTTTTTCATAAATGCTCTTACTATATATTCTCTAAAATATATGCACTAGATTTGTGATAGTGAGYTTCTTATAAGGAACTACATTTATAATGTAATAAATGTCAAATATATCCTAATAATTGATGTATATGGTAGAAGAAAACTCACAGTCAATGACATCAAGGCTCTCTTTCTAGAAGATACCATCATCCTCATGTCTAGATTCTTTTCGAGGCATGATATGTCTACTACGAGATGACGTAGTTGGCATAGTTCTATCTGCAATACCAATTAAAGATAATATACGACAAAATAAGCTAAGAAAAGTTTTAAGCTATTTAACCCCTTCCATTCAACAATAATAATGACTTCAATAATTAAGTTCACTAAATTATACCAATAATTCACAAACTACCATATCAATAATCTATTGCCAAGACCATCGATTCTATGTCGTTAGCAATATTTTAATATAATCAAAATATTAAAGCTAAAAGATTTGAAACCAACTGCTAGAAATCAATTGAAGATCAAGTTTTGAGATTTGGATTGATGATTTTAGGCACCCATTACTACCTGATTGGGTTTATCATAGAGAAAAAAAAAGCTTAAAATACTAGTTTTATATATACTATATATAAAAAGTATGGGTGCAAAGTGAAAGATTTTTTGGACTAAAATTACTTTTATTTCTTTATTTGTGTATTTAATCAATCTCTAATTGTAAGAGTTGAAAATGTAAGTTCAATTATTACTTTCCATCTCAATAAGTCTTATAGTATTAATTCCAATTTTCTCTTATTAAATCATATATTTAAATTATGTTTCACTAATAAATGCTACTAATTACATCTATGTCAATAGTTTTAACAATATAAACCCATATATTTTAAAACTGATTTAAAAACAAAATCATTSTTTATCCAAGAGTTGGTTAATCAATTCAACCATTCGAGTCAAATTGGTCAACTTATATAGTCATAGTTAGGTAATAAAATTTTTAAAATAGAAATGAATACAAAAAATTATAAAAATATAGAAAAATTAGATACATTTATGATATTTTTGTTAACCAAATTAAAAAAATTAAGTATAATAAACAAGAACTATTTTTATTGATATTGAAAATAAAATACATAATTCAGAACTGACAAAAAATGAAAATATTTTACTGTTTAGCAAAGATCAATAGTTCAAATTTTCGGTCAAATGTGTCAACCTTTAATTTCATAAATAAATAATAAAAATTAATAAAAAATAAAAATACATAAGTTTTGCAAAAAAACCATTCAGGCACATGTATAATATCATATATTTATCATATTAAAYAAAAAATAAGTGTGACATATCAGAATTATTTTTACACATGGAAATACAAAAGAATTATAGAAAATATTGAACACATATATAACTATATATTTACACTACTATTAAAAATGTAAATAAGATTGTGGAACTTTCTTTTGACTAAAATACTTATTTTTGAATTTAATCCCTATTTAATTGTAAGGTTTAAATTGTAAATTGAACTACTACTCTTCATCTTTATTTAAATTTTACATTTTTCTTATAAATGAACAAAAAAAGATACACCAAAAAGATAAAACATTACAAAAAGAATTGTCTAACAAGTAGTAGGCTTGCCAATGATACTTGAAATTTCACAACTCAATCCCATGATGACATATTTAGATAAGGTGTTTATGTAATCAAATTTGAATTTTGCATAAAAAAACAAAAAATAAAAAAAATACATAAATTTTATAAAAAATTTTGGATACATTATTACTATCATTATCATCATCAAGATTGCCACGTACAAAGCACATGCACACTTACTATTATATAATAAAAGGAAGTATGAAAACAATATAAAACCCCACATATTAGTTGTGGGAAACAAAAAAAAAAAAAAAAAAAACTTGCCTCTTGGAGTTCCAATTCTCCATCAGCTTCAGTTGCCCAACATTTACATGAAATAACTGTCTTTGAATCGGATTTGTCTAATAACTTCAAGAAACAAGAATGTGTCACAATTATACAAGATAAAAAGTGAAAATCACTAAATCAGGTGCCAACAGAGGTGGCGGCCGTAAACTTAATAAATACCTTTACATGGTAATATTCATTTTCAGTTTCAAAAGCTAGTCCAGTTTTTGGGACAATGTAACTTAAAATGAATTCCATGTACGAACTAGGAATATCTGCATGAAACCATCTCTGCAAATCTTCATTCGATGGACTTTCATCAGCCAAACTATTTTTGATAGAGTCCAACATATTAGACCGTCCCCTGCATTACATATTGTAGATGGTAAATTAGAAAATTAATGTCCTCCATCCTATTCTATATATATACATATAAATAAAGATGCTATATATCTAGAGCATAAAGCTCCCTAACAACCAAGGTTCAAAGTATCAATACGTATTATGTCAATGGCTTCTCGATACGCCTTTCCAGGGTTTATTTCGATGGCTTCTCGATATGCCTTTCCAGGGTTTATCGGATCAGACACTGGTTCAAAAGATAGTTGAGCCTTAAACCGATCATTCTGAATCAGTTTCGAAAAAAATAAATAAAACCTAAAAAAAAGTACTGATACGCCCTACCGGCATATCGACCTGTATCGATACTTTTAAACCTTACTAACTACAACATAATGGGATGCATCAATAAGCTAAGCGTGAGAAAGGAAGCTTGGATAATATTATATTTTGAAGAATAGTATATTTTCTACCTTTTCATCAGAAAGAAGAAAAAGGGTATTTTGATAAAAAACAAAAGTACAGAAAATATGGTGAAATGAAAATGAATATATTACCCACGAAAGACGATTTTTCCAAATCTGACCCGAAATGTAGGCTTTATTTCTTCAGATTCTTGGAACTCATCAATTTCCTTGCATACGTTTTGGAAAGATTTTACAAGGTCTGGTTGTAGCTTCTCTGCCAGATACACCCATGGGCTTGTTCCAGTGCTCCCTGTGTTGTTAACTACAACTTGTAGGGAAGCAACTAAGTGAACGATTACAATTAAAGTATATAGATAGTCTTTCTCAAAAGGAAGAAACAAATTCAGGCAAGAACATGCATGCAGCTTGGTTGAAGTACGTACCTGTTGTTGGGTGGGCACAAGTCAGAACCAGTGGTTTTTCTCCATATATCCCCTCAACAAATTCATGGGAAATTGGCTTCATCTCAAGTAAAGTGAGATCTGTCGGACCAACCATCAACCATTTACAGATTGGGTCGTTTCCATAAGGAATATTTTTACCACGCAAAGGGTGTTGGGAGTTATTCCTTCTCTCTGAATTAGAGCAGAAGCAGCTGGTTGATGTTGGAGTAGTCGAACTTCTTCTAAATTGACCAGGAAAGCAAGGATAGGGAGTAGGTGATATTTTCTCTGCACCGTTTATCTGTCTTCTATGTGGAGGGATGTATGCCATGAGGATAACTGCAAGTATCTAAGATCAAATATTACAGAACAAGGAAGAAAGCTAATTTCATGGAATGAAGATCATGTATGGACTCTTTAAGTTAAAATATAAATAAACTTGGACTCCCTAATCCCCCTGATCAAAAGAGAATAAAGATTTAATGATTTATGATATTTTGGAAGAATCAAACTCCAACCATATCCCTTCTCAAAATTAAAAGCTTTTAACACACAGACACACACACAAGGCAATAACCCATCTTTAAATATGGATCGGGTGGACAATTCAAGGTCTCCAGCATGAAGCTCCTAACTTGTTAAACAGCTGTTGTTCTTCACTAATCCCCATCAATGAATTGTCTCTTTTTGGAGTAATTTATTCGGATTTGAGCCCAACACAACACTTTTTGCTCATGCTAAGCAAAATAAAAGTAGAAGAGCTACGACTCCATTCTACAAGTAATTAAAAGAAAAAAAAAAAAAAGAAACAGTACAGACACAAGTCAAAAGCAAAAGTAGAAGTCAAGATGGAAAGCAAAAGCAAAAGCTTAAAATACTAGGAGGATATATGGATTAGAATTTTTAGTTCCTCAAAAAGCAATTGTAAATTTGTAAGGTGTATTCTTGTTTTTTTTTTTTTTTTAATTTTCCGTACAAGAGGTACAATGGGGAAAAGTGTTGAGACTCGAGACATGAGGGACTCCCACCTTCTTCCTATCCTGGCCTGACCAAAATGTATCCAAGAAAAAGATTCTTAATCAAAAGTATGCTTTATGTGATCAGACCTCCTTCCTTGTGAGTTAAGAATTGAATAGTATGGAACCATTAAATTGGGCCATTTATTGTAATGGGGTGGCAATCCTAGCCTAGCCTTTTTTTTTTTTTTTGTGTGTGTGTGTCCAGGCTTGGCCTCGATTCTTGCTAGAGATGCACCTTGGGTTGAAAATTTATTAATTTTCAATGGAACCAAGCCCTAACCCTAGATCAGATTGAATCGGATGTATACCTAGATCAAAATTTGAGTGTTGATATTCAGATTTAAATTATCAGGAATTGGATCAAATTTAGATATTGAAAACCGTTGCTAAATTATACATTATTGACAAATTAAAATGAATTAAATATGACTTGAAAACAAAGTCTAGCACCCACTCCTTAATTTACTTAATTAAGTTTGCTTCAGTTACCATTGTTACAATAATTTTTGCCTTATCAGTTAGGTTGACCTTTGATTTCTCAAAGTCCTTCCGGTGATGACATTCATTTATATAGTGCTCGGGTTTGCCATATATAACACTTCCTTTTCTGTTGTTATTTTTAAAATTTTTGTCATTTTTAACATTCAAGTACTTTTTGAATTTTGCGGTCATTTCCTTCATCAATTTGGTCTTGAAAATCAGTTTTTTTCTCTATCTGATCTTTCTTTTTATTCTATTTTGATTTAGACTACTACTTGATCCACTGTAATGTCCTTTTTTTATGCTTCATATTTGTTTTAAAATCATTTCATGTGTGATAACTTCTATATGAGAGAACCAACAACAAATTCATCGAGAAGTATCATACATTTCTTTGCTAAATCCCCTACATGCACCTAAAACTCATCAATTTGAACAAACACGTCCATATGTTCCTTCCTAATGAAATACAAGAAATTTATAAAAACATATTTCTTATTTCTGACATCTTCCATAGCATACTTTTTGTCTAAAGTATTCCAAATTTCATAAGCAAAATTATCTGAGCTATAGACATTGTATAAAGTTCATTAGATAGGCAGTTCCAGATGTGGTTCTAGCATAGATGATCAGCTGTAAACCAATGTTTAGCATTAACAAAACAGGCTGGTTCTTCCATATTTGATGGGTTTGGTTCAACTAAAGTATAGGCAACCCCTATTTGTTCTAAAAATAAAATAAGGCATTGTCTCCAATGCTTAAAGTTGGTTTCATTGGATGGTTCAATCTTGGAGAAATCTAGAGCTGTTGATAGTAGCCAATTTTTCATGATAGGGGTAGCATAGATAGGTTTCATGTAAATGCATTTTAAGATTGTTGAATATATAGTAAAAAGTAGGGAGAATGGAACTTATTGTTTTTGTGTTTTCCAAACCCGTAAAATAGTGCAAAACTCTACAACTATTAAGAGTTGATGTGGAAATTACACACCAAAGTGCAGAAGTGGTGTGAAATCACTTCTAAAGTTGCAAAATGATAATCTGAAGTGCGACGGTGGTGTGAAATTTCCTTTAATGTTGACTATGAACCATGAAATGAATTGAGTCATGCCACTTGGTCACTCTCCTTAAAATCGCATTTCCCCGTACGATGCAACCGGGTCTTTGCAAATTGGTTTCCAATATGAAACAACCCACACCCCAGCCCGGCTTGTGCGTGTGTGAAAATCACCCCCAACCCTTCACAAGCTTGTGAATAGAATGCATATTGTAATCTCCTCCTATGAGTCCTTACCCATACGGATAGCAAGTTAACTTATAAGCTGAATTTTACCTCTTTTTCCAAACAATGTGGGATAAGGTGATTTTACATACTTCAAGAGGCTATGACAAGAAATAACGACGAAAAACATAAAAGACAAATTAAACACAACTTTAACATAAGAGAGGGAGTTCAAAATTTATGTATTTTGAATCTTTCATCCAAAACATATAAATCCAACAATTTGGCTTTAAAAAGATAAGTTGGTAAACTAGAAATGTTTGAGGAAGTGGAGATTTCATTGAGAAACTTTGTATTTGCTATTCTAAGGAACACAATGATCTATGAAATCCTCACATAGCTGAATTGGGATTTCCTCCTCACAGAGAGCACCTCACAGCCCTATCCCACCATGTATTGGGAACATCTCCCTATGAATAACAACATAAACTATAGGAGATGTTCCCGATGTGCAGCTGGGAAGCATTGTACGTGAGATTGGTGTGAGGAGCAGATCCAGACTTCACGTAGCCATACAAAAAATACATTGTCAATTGTCACACCACAAGTTAAGTGATAAGATTTCTCAATATATAGTAAATGGAGTGCTACTGACCATAGTGTTTTTAGATGCCCCCTCCTCTACCCCAACCTCATGAGTTCGGATTTGTTCCTCATAGAGCACACATCATACCAACCTCACAGCATGTTTCAGTCATGCATCTAGAACATTTCCATAATTGTAAATTTTTATTCATGGATGTTCCAAATGCACAATTGAGTATCATCAAATGTCAACGAGTTGAGCTTGGATTTCCAACACTTAAGGTTTTGTATTAAGTTGTATGTTAACCAATAAGAATTCATCAAAATTCACACGGGTGATTTTGAATGATATTTTACTAGGGTTGTTCATCAAACCAATGAAATCGGCCAACCCGACCCAATCCAACTCGAGTTGGTCAATTTTCTAATTATCTTAGTTGGTTTTAGTTTAGTTTTTATGCTAACCTTAGAGGTCGGGTCAGTTTCGATTTGACCATTTGTAAACTGACCAAAACCAAATTGACCTAACCATGGATATGTATTAATATTTTATATTTTTAGTATGGAAAAGTGAGAAAATTCCCATATTTCAAAGTTTAAAATATTTTATATTGTAATTTTTAATTTTTTAAATTTAATTTTTAATAATACTATTACAATTATTTAATTTAAATCTAACTTCTGCATTTAATTTTTAAATTTAAAATTTTTTAACTGACTGGCCAAACCAAAAACTAACCCAAACTGATACAACCCAAATTGGTTAGTTTTCATCATTGGTCGATCAGTTTTAGGTGACTAACTCCCCAACTTGACCAGGTTAGTTCGGTTGGCCAAATACCCTAAATCGAACCGAACCTATCCATGAATACCCTTATCTTTTACTTTTTTGAAGTCCAGCTTTCTTACTCATACAATTGGTCCTCATGCAAGGCTGCAAGTGTTGTGAGGACAGTGTGTGGACATATTGTATGAGCCTAAATCCATATTCATGCATTAGTCCATGCATTTTTTATGAATTCTCAGAACAACTTAGAATACAAAATCTTAATTTAGGAAATCCAGGCTAAGTTGGGTATGGTCTGGTCAAGGTAGACCTAGTCCCAACCCAATAAATAAATGTGCATAACTTGATTCTAGGTCATGGTAGGCCTAGACCCAAAATCAACCCAATTACTAATGGAAACTAAATAACCTGATTGAATTTGAATTTGCTCCTCACGAAGTGTGCCTCACACCAACCTCACAATGCATCACATTGTGCATTGGGAACATCTTCCCATGAAGGATGACATCAATTAGAAGAGATGTTATTAATGCACGACTACGATGCGTTGTGAGGTTTGCGTGAGGCACTCTCTTTGAGGAGCAAATCTAATAAGATGATTAAAATTGATAGCTATAATCGAGACATATAATGCAAATGTAGAACCTATATAATTAGGTCGGCCATAATTATTCTATCATGTCTTCTTGACCTATTGACAACCCTACCACACAGTGTCATTAAAGGATCCTTTTCATTAGCACCGTGTTGTTGTTGTCCTTCTCAGCAAGGTCCCAAGTATCTGATACACCCGATACACACAAACATGCATATTGGGTATTTCAATACCTGGTGTCAATACCCAATTTTTGATCGGTCCCCCTTCTCCCTACCTCTTTGTACCCTCATTTTAGACCCCAAAACTGAAAAACAAAGTCAAACTAACCTAAGATTTGCCTAAACCCAAAATTCCCTATTCTGATGTAATCCACACGACAAATGAGAACATTGAAATCAACATCGAATATTTGATTAAACATGATTACTAGACTTAGGAAACTAAATTTTAGATGCACGTCATCATGCCAACCTCATCTCTAATGGTCCCGATTTACGCAACATTCAAACCTTGACTCCACCAAATCCAAATCCAACACATTCATTGACCCAAGACATTAAGATACGTTCAACCCCCAAATCCCAACTCAAATATACAACGATCAACCTTGAAAATACCAAGATTCCATTTCAATGGTTTTGAATGACTAGAGCAATAAAACCAAGATCAACCATTTCTTTCATAGATCAGAACCATCCACTTTCCTCCTTACTTTAATTTGTTTCCATACGTTAAATCTCAACTCAAAACTCTCATGTTTAACCATTCAATAAAATTATGATTTGACATTTATAATTAAACTACACAAAAAGTCATATCCCAAGTCCAAAATCCTCAAAATAAGCAACCCATTAAATTTAACCTTAAATTCCTCCATGTCCTCCTAAAAACAAGATTCCATTTTGGACATTTTCATTGATTGGTGATCCATAAGCCTAAACCTTGATTTGAACCAAATCCTACAATCTACATCTTTGATCACAAATTCATTCTTTCCATTAGATTCGAGGCATTTAAAAATGCTTACCCACCAAATTTCATCCCAAAATCCCCTCGTTTGACCCATCATTAAGCAAAGATTTTATTTTAGCAAATTTCGTTAATCTGAACTTGTTAGCCATATATCTCTATCATCCTGACCCTATTTGACCAATCAGTCCATCCTATTATGTTTAAAAATACAGAGCATCAAATTTCATGACCAAACTCCTCCATTTGATCGTTAAAAAGTGAGATTCCATTTTAAGTCTTCTCGTTGATTGATAAACCATAGGCTAAAATCTAGACCTGAATCAAATTCTTCAACCCACACCTATAACTAAAGATCCATCACTCCCATCATATTCAAGACTTTCAAAAGTGCCTACTCATCAAATTTCATCCCAAAATTCCCTCATTTAACCCTTCATTAAATAAAATAAAGATTTTATTTCAGCAAATCTCATTAATTCAAACTTGTCAGCCATAAATCTCCATATTAACCCTATTTGACCAATCAAACCTTGCCATCTTGTTCAAAGACCCAAAAAACCTTGTACGTCAAATTCCATCGCCTAATTTATTCATTTGAATGTTAAACTATAATGATTTTATTTCTACATGCCAGATTAAATGCTACACCAATTGTCCCAACCTGAGACCTCAAGAGGGTGGAGGCTAATGTCAAACCTTTTAGATGCACAAAACGAGACTGCAATTACAAGCATGCCCCAAGCTCCCATTGGGTGCACAAAACCCATGAAAATCAAGAAAAATCTATGACCAAAAGGGAAAACTTGACTGAACATCTATTCTCTTTGAAAATCTTTGTCCATTTTCTTAAAAAAGTTGTCTTGAAGCCCAGGTTCTCTGATTGGGTGAGATTCAGAGTTTTTCCCCTTCTTTTATATATAAATAGAGACCCAAGTCAAGCTCTAGGGGGACTAGGGAGAGAGGAGAAACAAATGAGAGACCTTAGAAGCATTCTCAAGCTCTATAAGGCTCCCATTCATAAAAAAAAAAAGGGTGGCGACTCCATATTTTTGAGCTAGTCATGAGTTTCCTGGAGCTCACACCTAGCTAACACCTTTTCTTTAGTTTTTTTTTTCAAAATTTCTTTAGAGAATACATTTTAGGTATATTGAGTGTTATAATACCTTCAAAGTATCTAGTACACTCGGTACATTCTAATAGGCATATTGAGTGTTTTGATACCTAGCTAACAACTTTATTTTAGATTTTCCTTTTTATCCTTTCAAATATTGCTTCAAAGGATCCATTTTAGGCCTACCTACCCCTAAAACTGTTCAAAACCTAAAGCATTTGTTATTTGGCCTGTCATACCATATTATGTCTAAATTTTGAACCTTGCTTGCAAGTGAACTTCATGATACATGAAAAGAATTGTTTTGGGTTAATTACTACTACACATTTTCGTTCCTTCTAACTATAATCTAGAACAAAAGAAAAAAAAATCTATTTTACAATAAATCTAGATTGATTATAGCAAACTATTAATTGTGAGCCACATGCATACTAGAATTTATACTAACAATATACAATTAGAGTTTTTTTTTTTCTTTTTCGGTATTTTGGTGTACGCCAAAATCCCCCATAGGGCCAGTTGAATAGCACAGAGAACCATTCTTGAACAACTAGTCTCTATTGAGGAAATTGAGCAGGCCTTATTCCAAAAGGCCCCATCCAAGGCTCTTAGGTTGGATGGGCTACCCAACTCCTTTTTCTTGAAATATTGAAACTTTGTAATGGACAACAACATAAAGGCTATCAAAACTTTCATCACTGGTGGAGTACTCAAGTATTTTAATCATTTGTTTTCATTTTAATCTTTGAATGTGTATAATAAATAATGTAAAAGGTAATATTTATAAAATTTAAATTATAATATGATAAATTTTGAACCATATGTTAATATATTACAGTAATCTACATATTAAGTTATTCAATTTAATCAATAAACATAATATAGTTTTAAATTTTATATTATCATTATTGAAAATCAACTTTTTAAAGGACATGTTTCATTTTTTTTTTACGAGGGAGAGTAAACAAAACAAAGATCAGGTTCCACAGGTAGACCCTGAAACCGACCCCAGAACCGTCAAGGCCATAACCGACCATGGAAACGGTCTTCACAGGATAGATTCTGGTTCCAAAAACTTAGAATCGACCCCTACAGGGTAGGTTCTAGGTTCTACCATAAAACCAAACCGAACCGACCCATAGTCACCCCTACCTCCTACTATTACTACCATGCCATCACCGTGCATGTTCTTTCGTAATTTTGGCTCTCCTCCACGACTTGCTGAGGCTACACCTCACTTCACACTCTAGTTGACCAGAAGATGGTCCTAGTTTTTAATCTCATGATCAGTTACCAATTACTAGTTCAATGGATGTTGCATCTTCTCCAACTAACTCAGCCTCTTCTAGTGAACATTCTGCTACATCCTCTTAAAATCGCCTTTCTCCATGTTCCAAATTCATTTCAGAGATCATACAAACTTCTCGCACCCCATCTCAACATACTCATTCCATGATTACACGATCGCAAGATGACACTCAACGACCATGCTCTTTTCTTCCCACCAGGCACCCTCTGCCCCACTCTATCGTAGCTCACATGTTTTACATCTTCCATGAAGAGTGAAGTATGGCATCAAGTAAAGAGTGATCAATTCACAACTCTTTTGAAAAATGGAAATAACACAGAACTTGGTCCAAACATCTTTTCTTGGGCCTCATGTAAGCAAGATACCATTATGCACTCTAGTACCGAGTTTGGGTTCAGATCACTAGTAGATGGTGCTGCCGAGCTTATTTGGTTATAGTCCTTGTTTCGAGATCTTCGGGTTTCACTTTCCTCTCCACCAATATACTTCATAGTGATAACATTGGTGCTACTTATCTAACTGCCAATCTGATCTATCATTCTCATACCAAGCATGTGGTTGTTGATTTTAATTTTTTATGCATTTTGAGTAGGAGTGGATTCGAGCCGAGCCGAATACTTGGCTATTTGAGCTCAGCTTGCAGGAATAGTATCAGGCTCGAGCTCAAGCTCAATTCAAGTCAGCGCGGTTCATAGCTTGCAAGTTCGAGCTTGGCTCAAGCTTGACTATAAACCAAGTTTTTTTTTTGAAAAATAAAAATTATATGTATAAATTTTTTTTTTGAAAAATAAAAAAATATGTATAAATTTTTTTTAGACAAAAAATTAAGAATTATAAAAATTATTTAATATTATATATACACAAAATAATTAAAAAATTGTTTTTATTTTACATACAATAAAATAAGAATGATAAAAATTATTTACTATTATACATAAAAAATAAAAATATTATTATATATATAATAAAATTATTTATTATATGTATGTATGTATAATAAAATTTTTTACTATTATACATAAAAAATAATTATTTATTTAATACTAGGCTTGCAAGCCTCATGAGCCGAGCTTCGCTAGGCTCAAGCTCGATTCGATTAGCAAACGAGCCTATATATCGGGCTCGAATTCGACTCAAAGATCGGTTTAAATCGAGCTTTGAGCCGAGCTTTTCATGAATCAGACTCGAATTTGACTCAAAACTTAGTTTAAATCGATCTTTGAGTTGAGCTTTTCATGAATCGGATTCGAATTCGACTCAAAACTTGGTTTAAATCGAGCTTAATTTGAGCCGAGATTTTCATGAATCGGGTTCAAATTCGACTCAAAGCTCGGTTTAAATTGAGCTTAATTTGAGCCGAGATTTTCATAAATCGGGTTCGAATTCGACTCAAAGCTCGATTTAGCCTAGCTTTTCATGAATCRAGCTCGAATAACTCATAAAAACTCACCTCGTGGCGACCCCTAATTTTAAAAACCAAATGGAGAGAGATCTTGTGCTATGTTGCTTAGAGTCCTTACACGCATGAGCTCCTTCAGGTTACTTTCTCATATATGGTTTAATGCCGTTGCTTTTTCCTTTTATTTGACTTTAGCTTTATAATTTCTCTAGTTTCTTTTTCAATTATTAATAAAGTTGGGCAGAATCTACTTTTCCTTTCTCCAATACAGTTCATGGGCGACTGGTGCTAGTACTGCTAACATGTGGGAAATGAGATGTGGGATTAGATGAGAGTGGATCCAGTTAATCCAGGTTTTTGACTGGACTCGGATCGGATCGGATCCCAAGCAATTTTCATTTTATATATAGGGAGATCCTAGTCACCTCATCTATATCCAACCCATTTAAGAATCAAAAACCTTTTAAGTGATCCAACTCTGGTATTATATGGATATCGAGTAAAATTAAATGGGTGTTGGATCCGACTTTCACTTATACGTGTCCTATTGCGAGTGGTCTTGCATGTAAACCCCTACTTAGTGTTCTCCTTTGATGGTTTGGCAATTATTGACTTGATGAAGTGACAAGTGCCAAACTGACTGAACCAACCAACCTACCCGTTTCCTAAACATCTGGGTCGGGCTTTTCTTAACCCGGCGTAATACCATGAAAYCCATTTGGGTCTTCAACTACTTTACTAATTTGGGTTTTGTGGTGGGGTCTGAATGTCTGAATAAAGATATTTTTTCCAAAGCCATGGACTACATGTACATGATATTATTGTTTTAATTCTTCCTTCGCTTGTAAGACTCCTCCACCATCATTTTTCAGCACAAGGCATTGAAATCTTATTGAGTCACGTTACGTTGCAGTTGTCTTTCATGGCATACGTCCCTCCACACAAGAGATATACGGAAGATGATGAACTGTTTTCTCAGGGAAACAGGGGTCCGAGTTCCTCTGGCTGTAGTCCAGATAGGAAGAAAGATAGATGGTCTCGGGGAGAGGGAATCATTACGTACGCAGAAGGCGCAGAACATAGAAGATGGTCAATTGGTTTGGCAGAGGATGATCAACCTTCTGATTCAGGTATGTTGGCTGAAACCAGTTTTCGATGAATTTCTTGAGCAGATGGTTATCGACTAGCTAGCTAGTAATAGATCGATCAATTCAATTCTGGAAATCGATATTATGGTTTGATAGAAAATAATTAATCGATGAGGCCACAGGGAGCTCTCAGACAAGCCCATGGGTGTCTATAGCAAGGAAGATACTGCCAGACCTACTTACATGTTTCCAAAACATCCGCAATGAAGAAGAATCTGGACAAGTAGCAACTCCTCTATTTATGGCCAGATTTGGTTACAAAACTGATTATAGGTAATATAGTCTACTGTTCCTTTGCTTGTATTTTCTGTATTTAGGGTCCGTCCGTTTGCTTGGTAGCCCGAATCGGAATAACAATGCTCTGGAATCTTAATCATTCCTATATTTTGTTTGGTTCAGACAGAAATGAAAATCAGCAGGATAGGAATAGCCATTTCCTCAAATGGGAGAATGTCATTTTGTAAACSGCCATTTTGTATAAGTTTCTTTGTCTTTCCCTACTTTTTCATTCAAGGTATATACAAATAATTCAAATCAGCCCCCCACAACGTCTCAATAATAATATATGTCATCATCGGGAAATATTCCCAATACACGGCGAAGATGTGCAGTGGGACATTGTGGGGGGCTGATTCGGTCTCCTCTGCTAGTACTGGCGTGAATTTGTCTTGTACTAGCTGGCTCGCTCCCACAGTTGGCACTGAAACTTTGACAAACTCTCATGAGTATAGAATGTCGAACAAATTAAAACAAATATCATATATGCTTAATCAGGGAATGAAAATTTGTATAATGCAGGAAATTCCCAACTAATTTAGACTCAAGAAACAAAAATTTAGATATCAAGTGTGCAGGTTTAACGCCAATGTTCCAAGTTCATTTATGAACGCCATTGCAAGTAATGTGGTCCAGAAGATTGGAGTAGTTGATGTTGATAAAGAATACGAGTATTACCATTTTAAGGTATTTTCATGGCTTATTACAACCTCTGTACTGTAAATTCTATATTCTTGTTGATTTAGTTTGTTTTGCTGTTGTGATCAAACTTGTAGGTTAATGACAAATCTCAGCCGAATGTAACTTTGTCGTGTACATGTAGTTTGAACGAAGTTGACGGAGAATGGGAACCAGGACAGAAGGCAAGTTTATGCTTCTTTGTGTTCTATTTTTTGTTATGTGATAGAAAATAACAGTAAATTATAGTAAGTTTTGTTAATTTTAAAATATTAAATAACAATAATTATTGATAATTTCTGATATTCTTCAATAATTAATTAAATAACAATAGTTTAAAATTAATTAGAAAATTTAGCAAAAATAATATATCACGATTAATTACCAAAGTTGCCAATGTCACCAAGATTAGGGTTGTAATCGGATCAGACTCGGATCGGATGCAGCAAAATCCACATCTGATCCAATTACTAAAAACCTACATTCAACTTTGATAGAATTTGAATTCGAATCCCAATGGACTTGGACCGGAGTCGGGTTTAATCTGACTCCGCTTTGAATTTTCTAAAATACTAGAAAAATAAAAAAATTATTTATTTTTCAGCTTTTATATATAATAAATTAATATAAATATAAAATACTAATTTTATTATATATATATATATAATATTTTATATATTAAAATTAATAAATATTATAATATATTCAGATTGGATGGGGCTAAATCTGAATCTGATACGATTATTGATCGGATCTGGATTGTAACATTCGAATCTAAGATAAACGAATTCCCAGGTATCATTGACAGGCCTAACAAAGATTAACTTTGCAAAATTATCATCACAAGTTATTAGTTTTTTTGTAAACAATTTGATATACTTAGTTATTGGTTTAATTTTCACTAAACTAATACTTTTTAAATAAATAAATTACACAAAAAGTAAATTAAGAATTTCTGTTGAATTAATAATTTTCCAATAATGTCACAATTTTTATTTGATAAATTTTGAGAATTATTAATTTCTATTAAATTTATAACTTTCCAAAACGCCCAAAAAAATATATTTAAATTACTTTTAAAAATTAAACAACAATAATTTAGTGATAATTTATGACATTTTAATTAATTTTATATTAAAAAATTATGAAATTTACTCAAAATGGTTTACCACAATTAATGATCAATATTTTTTGGTAAAAAATTACTTAAATTAAGTACTTGTAAATAAATTTTTGGTAAATTATTAATATTTGATGAATAGATAATGTAAAAAAAAAAATTAAATTAATAATTACAGTAAATGAAAATAACAATGATGTCGGTGTCGATTAATTGGAAAAGGCGAAGTAGATAACAATATATATTAATTAAATAACAATAAATTATACTAATTTAGTGATTAAAAAATCAAAAAATAAGTGTAAAATACAATAAAATTTAAATAGCAAATTGACCACGACCAGGGATGCAGTTGGTATTCTACCATGGGAACATCTCCCCATGTGTTGTAGGGTTGGTGTGGGGTGCCAATCTGAGTTCTACCTAGAGAATCATTTTATTTTTTAATAATACACCTTGAGATCCATCTACATGGCTATATAATGATTAAATCGATCCTCAGAATTTTAGAAATCATTTAATTATTTTCGTTATTACAAATTCTTAAGTTGTTAATATTTTATTTCTATTCACACTATAGTACGTTTTTCAATTTTCGCATCCCTGGTTTTTCTATTTTCTAGGTTGTTTGATCACTTTTTATGTATTTTCTTATAATTAATAATTCATAAATTAAATTAAATTCAATGTATTGGATTGGTGCCAGAGCATTGATAACTGAATTTAGTGTTAATATAATGTCTTCTGTTGAAACAACATCATGGGCGTCCAGCGATTTCCCATGGCGTAACAAGTTTATAAAATAATTTAAGCTTATTTTATTTGCAGATTGAAGTAAACCCAACACGCCACCTTGTACATGATATAGCATGTCATGGGAAGAAGTTAGACTTGAGATTGATGCTATCTACACGGAAATTATTGACAGTATTGAATGTGAGTTTCCTTCTACAACATAAATATGATGTAATTTTAATGGGCACTCTGATATTTAAGTTAGTGTAGGAGATCGTACAAAGTTAATAGCTTGAGAATGCTAGTAAATGAGAGCTAAATTGCATGTATCTTGTGAGACCGAATGTGATATCTTTATATAGACGAGCTGTCGTGGACCTCACGAAGTGTGTCTGAGATCACTGGCCCGTCTAATCTGGAGTCTGTTCCGCACCCGAAGATGGACTCTGTGTAAGCTGATAAGGCTTATCCAGGTTCGTTCAATTCGGGCGGGATAGAGATAAGATCCATTGACGTGCGGTGTGATCAGGAGGAGATCAGAGACAGCTGGCTCACTTCTAGAAGGTAGCTATGTGGCACCTCGGCAGGTCGGTGAGTGTGGCGAGCTGCTCGGGCCCCGGTCTTAACTAAGTGACCTGAGGTGTCCAAGGTGACTTGGACTGCTAATTAAAGTGTCAAAGAATGTTGAGATGTCATCTAGTCATTGCTCCACATGTCATTATATCATTGGACGAGCCAAATTATCCCTCATCACTATGCTTTTGTAAAAATACCTTAAAAATTTCATACCGCTCGTTTTCTTATTTTATGATAATTTAGTTATTGCTAAACCCAAACACAACATGACAACAATTAGCTAGTTTATCAGATTCTGCCTTTCTTATACCTAAAACAAAATCTCTTTTCCTTTTTATCTTCTAACTCCCAACTCACCCATGCACACATGCTGTGTGTGTTAGGGCAGCAGGTCGTTTCCATTTATCCCAATATGAATTTGAATTCGATCTTGTCATATTTGTCTCCAACATGGATATTACCCCTATCAGATTTGATTTGATTATATTCAGTTTAAATATATGTGCTTATATATCAAAATCCATATTGCATCTATTAGTAAAATTGGTTTCTATGTCATAGTTTCACTAAAGAGTCATAGGCTCAAGTTAATTTCATAAAGTTATTTTCATGTCATTTAATTTGTTCATCATATACAACATTAAAATCATACTTAAATTCATTTTATTAATAAATATATAGTATTTTTTGAACAATTTTTTGGTTAAAATATAAAATTGATTCAAATCCAATATAATTAAATCTGAAAGATGAGATTCAATTCCAATCTTAGTTCTAATGAATCAAATTTGATTTATTGAACTGTGTGTGTGAAAGAGAGAGAGAAAGAGATTGAGATTTCTATATACTAACCAGTGTATGTGTATACAGGAAAGTGAGAAGCATGAGCTCACGCATCTGATAAAATATGCAGTTCAGGATCTAGAGGCTCAAGGGAGAATATCACAATGCCATCTTCAATCGTTTGGACGTCAATACAAAATTATTGAAGCTTGGCACACCAAGTCTACATCTTTTAACAATCCATTGATAAAACTCAAAGTAAAAGATGGATATAAGTTTAATTGCAAGAGCCAAACAAAGGAAGATTCAAGGGATATAAGTATTGAAATGACCAGAGTAGTTGAGTTGTTGCAGGTGAGCTTTGTTATAATTCACAGAGCTATTACTGCTACGATCAAAAGAATTATTTTCTCTGTCTTGTGTTTGGTTTGAAGGAAAAACTAGGGAAAGATAAGGAAATCTTTACAAATTTTGTATAACTTTTCCTATCTTTCTCTTCTTTTTCCTACATTTCGAACTTTCCATTACTTTCTCTACCTTTTCCTTCAAACCAAACATAACGTAAATGACCCAATTTGCAAAATATGATTTTTAGAATATTGTCAAAATCATCTTCCGATATATAATAACATCTCCAATTTTTTGACATATCGTTCTCAAAAATTTCAGGACCAAGCAGTAGACAGTGGACTTGTGAACAAGATGCTTGAAGAGACTTTGAAATTGATATGGGACAATTTATTGAGCTATGGTACCTATTCTTTTACTTGAATCCTTATCATGAATCACATCTTCTTGTTATTTATCTTTTGGGTTCGACTATGATATGGAAAAGATATGATATCTGAAAATTTTCTGAATCTGGAATCATAAATGTGGTAGTCAATTAGGTTATATTTATCAAAATTCATGGATGGGTTTTGACTGATCTTCCCATACCCATATCATAGATTTTCCTATATATTTATTAATTTGTGAATATAACATTCTTGGAGTTGGTTCTAATTAAGGACTGAAACACTGAAACACTACCAGAAGTGACCTGGTCACCCAATCACAATTCCTGTTTGATTAACCCTCTAACCCATTTTAATTGTTGACTTGGTGAATGATCTCGCAGGCCTCAACCTGGATGGTAAAACCATTAATCCATTTGACCCACTTACCAGGTTACCGGTCTTTTATGTCATTTTTATTTTTCTAAAATTTTTATTGCCATGATTGTCAATGAGTTGACCCATTGATGACCCACTACGGGTTTCTGGCTAGCTCTTCCTTATATGTATCCTGATGTTCCCAATTAATTCAGGGTCGGTTGCTTCATAATTGGAATTGGAATCAGAATAGTCTATTTTCATAGTCTGTTTGGTTCAAATAGGAATTAGAATAAGAATCAGATTCAGCTGGAATGAGATTTCATTCTCAAGGGAGAGAGAATGCCATTTCACCATGAATGGAAATAATGGGATTCCGATTCCATCCAATCATACAGTTAGAATCGAGAATGGCCAGTTTCAATTCCATTCCAGACCCTTATTCCTRCGAACCAAACGTGACCTTAGTTTCTTGAATTTTAATGTATGGATGTACCACTAGCTCCTTGTTATGTGTAACTTGTCTAGATGAAGAAGCACCTCCACCCTCTCCTAATGCTGCTGAGGTCGTCACTCCATCTCCCGAGCTAACAGATGTGCTGTCTTCACTCTCTGAAGAGGAATCTAGGTCTGGATCTTCCTCCCCTCAATCTGCTGATAAAGATGGTGTGGGCTTTACAGCTTCAATGAACTCACAAGGAGGAGAGTTCTCAAGCTCATCAGAGAAATTGGCTTCATCATCATCAGAAGAGATGCGTTGTGGCTCAGAAGATAACAACATACTGGAGAAGTTCAAAACTGACATGGAGAGTCGAGCTATTCCAGTGCCACAAGGTGAGGAAGAGACAGAAATCCTGGGTTATAACATTTCCATTTCACTTGAGGACACACTCAAAGCGATCCTGGAAAAGCATGGAGACATTGGGGCACCAGGAAGGTTGCGTTCTGGTCCCTTGAGATCATACACAATGGCCCATGTCTGTGCCCTGGTGAAAGACATGCAGAAAACCAAAGTGATTGATAAACAGAAGTTGTTAGCTTGGAACGCAACGCTCTGTGATGCAGAGAAGGTGGAATTTGATGTGAGGTGGCTGAGAAAATGCCTGAATGAAACGGCTTCGACTTGGGARTACTACATGGGCTTGGCCAGGCGTGTAGAAATTGGTAGGATAGGATTGAGTGTGCTAGAGAAGGAGGTGGAGAAAGCAGAGCGTGTGGCCGCAGTGCTCCAAATGAGGCGTGATAAGGCTAAGGCGGCAATTCAGGCAAAGGAGGAGGAGTTGGCTGCAATGGACAATTACATAAATGGTGCAATACGACATCTTTAATCAGATATTAATTCCTACTTGTTTATATCATTGAGCTATCAGCTATCAGTTAAATAGTGACAGACTCTACTTATTGTAATTGGAATATTAAGCTAATAGTGATGGACTCCATCATGCATGCCTCAGCTTGGTCCAATAGAGATTCTGGACCTGATAGTGGTTTTCAATTTAGAGAGTGACTGGATCATGAGTATATATATATGATTAAGTGTTCAACTCGCTCAAACAAAAATTAGAAAAATAAAAAAGGATGTTCTTAAAGGATGATGCTTAACAAATTCAGTACGTTTAGAAAATAATGGTCAAACTGACCTTTGGCCACCCACCGGTTTGTAGGTCAACGGTTCAAATGATAGATCGGTAAAATAAATAGCATGCGTTTTACASATGGTTTTCAAAATCGTACTGGACCGAACGGTTAGACCAGAAAAACTGGGAACTGGTCACTTGATCGGTTCTGTTTTCCTCCAAAACCATTGATTTTGGTCAGCAAACCATTGAACTGGCCAGTTAACCGTTCGAATGGTTTTGACCGTTTTTCAAATCTTTAATTTTTTTATTTTTTTGTCAGAACGGGCCTACCATTCGAGTCAAACGGTTAGCTGTTCAAACCGGTAATCGAACCCCTGACCAGTTCGGTCACCGGTTCATTTTTAAAAACCATGGTTTTACATCTTACCTAGATATTCAAAGTTTAGAATAAGATACATACACACATAATGCTGACAAAGGGCAGTGACACCAACAACGTAACAGCCCTCTCAAATCTCATCTCTCTCTCTCATGTGTGTTGGTTTAATTGTTAAAAAGTTTTAAACATTTTTTGTTATTAAACCATGAAYCCTTGTCCAAGTTGAATTGTTAAGTGGTTAAACCATTTGAGTCAGTTGTGTTGACTCAAGGATCAAAATTTCGATACATCTGAGGCCATATCGGCCAATACATATCATATCAGTGTGTGGTCTTTTGATATATCCTTACAATGGGTTTTCTGGGGTCTGACTTGGTTCAGGAGGTAGACAGGCCTTAAACTGATCTCTCTAAACCAAATTAAAAATAATATTAAAAAAATAGAAATGAACCTTAATACAGTTCGATACATCCCAACCCGCATATCGGACTGTATCAATATTTTGAACCTTGTATTGACTAATTCAGGGGCTGATTGTTCATTGATCGATTCAATGGTCTTTTGAGAAAATTCGAACCAAGTGGTAAACGGAACAGGATAGATAATTGATTCCCAAGTCAAACAGTTCGACCATCCAGATCAACAATGGGTTTGAGACCATGGTCAAAATAGTTAACGGGGGAATTTTTTCAATTTTTCTCGACCTAATTGCCCTGGCTTTAGATTAAAACGCTGCCTAGAAAATTAGAATTTCTATTTATCCTTCGCTTCTTTCCCTCCTACTGAGTTTACTCCAATGGCTACGAAAGAAATCTATTCTCTATGTCTTGTTATAAACATAGTTCTATCTTGCATTACTGATAAAAAAAAAACTTTGACATATATTCTTATTTTCTCCGATCACTCTTATTTTTTTTTTTCTTTACATGTTCTTGAGCATGGGTGGTGAGCAATGAGCTCAAATGTGTAGTATCTAATGCTATATAGGATCTAAAAGTCTAACAGAAGTGCTGACAAAAAAAAAGCTTAACATAAGAAAATCTATGGGCAAAAGTAAGGTTTAAAAAAATCTATCGGCCAATATGTATTATATTGGGCCCTTCCTGGCACGTCCCAATAGGAGTTTATCGGGGCAGGGCCTGGTTTAGAGGGCATCTGMGACTTAAACCGACTCTTCTGAACTAAATCGAAAAAAGGGACCAATACTGGCCGATATGGCCTACCGGCCAGTATCGATACTTTGAACCTTAGGCAAAAGATAAGGCATAATAGAGTAATATCTTGTAGGTGATATTATTAAATAATTTATTTATTTATAATAAATATTTATTAAAAACAATGTTGATTTATTTAATTAATAAACAATTATGATAATATAGCTTAGTAATTAATTTTATTATAATTATTATGATTAAAATAATAAATATATAATAACGATTTATTTATTAAAATAATTAATAATAGAATATTAATTAGTATARTAATAAATATACATAAATAGAAATTTCATGAAAGAAAATAAAATATTAAGAAAATGGTCAGAAATGATAAAAGACTTTTAAATAATTTTCTTATTTTTATTATGTTATTGAACCTTTTTTATATTTTGAATAATAGTTTTATTTATATTTACTATATCTAAATTTACTGCTACTAATCTTATTCATACTTCAAACAAATCGCCCAAAATACGTGTCCATGCGAAATACAAGTATAGTGGTAAGAAAACAAAAAATGAAGTTAAATGTTTAAATTTGACTAAATGATTGTTGTAGGTACAATTTGATCAAAGCCTACAACCTTATTGGCAACAAATGCTCTGAAAAGGTAGGAATCTGCTTCCAATAAAATGCTACTAACCATGGTTTTTAACACCGAACCAGTGGCCGAACCGGTTAGGGGTCCAGTCACCGGTTCAAAAGGTTTGACRTTTGACCCGAATGGTCGGTCCATTTTGACAAAAAATTAAAAAATTTAAAAACAATTAAAACCATTCGAACGGATCGAATGGTTTGAACAGTTCGAATGGTTAGCCGATTCACCAGTTTGCTGATCAAAATCAACAGTTTTTCCGGTCCCACTATCCGGTTCGGTCCAATTTTGAAAACCATGCTCCCAACAGCCACAGTAGCCACACATTGAAAACATCTCCCTTGGCTTGGCTGGTTTGTAGCTAGCTGATCCGAACACACTCTGAAATGGTAAAATTTGGTAGGGCAGACATTTAGAGTGATAAGAGTTAAGTGCTATTGGACACTAACTAATTAGATTCTCTGATGCAATCAGGAATCTTATTTTTTGTTTTCAAGACTGCACCCCATAATGTCCCACAGTACATCCCTGCCGTGTATCGGAAACATCTCCAGATGATGATATTATCTGGAGATATCATCATTTCTGGTATTATCATCAGGAGATGTTTCCAATACAGAGTGGGGATGTGCTGTGGGATGCAATCTTGTGGGGGGCTGATTTGATATCTTTTTGAATGTGAAAAGCTTATCATCATATTAGCTAGTGATAGTAGGTGTTTGGAATAATACGATATAAGTAGATCTGGCAAAAAGTTGATTCAACCCACTAACCCGACCCAACCCAGCCTGAAAAAAAACTGGGTTGGGTTGGGTTGGTTGATAGGTCAACCCGCTAACCCGATTGTCAAGTCTAATTGAAACTGTTTATGCATTGTTAGAAGTTTCCACTTTTTATTTATTTAGTCTTTACTCTTTATCGTTTATTCTTTAAATTGCTAAATGTTCAAGTTTTTTTATTTTATATTTGAAATTTTAAGATTAAATCCTTTAGTTTTGACATTTTTCATGTAGTTTTTATTTATTTTTTAGAATGACCCGAATTGATCTGACCCATGGGTCAACCCTAACCCGAACATTTAGAATTAGGGTCTAACATTTGATAACCCAACCCAAAATGCAACCTGACCCAAAATCAACCCGAAGTTTATTGACCCACCCAACCCAATTGTCAGGTCTAGAAACGAGGACTTGGCCACGTCAGCCCATTTCGAATATTCCGTTGTAATGAATCAATCACCCATACAGGTTGTTAGAGCCATGATAATGGAAAAATGGATTTGTTTTTTTTTCTAAGGTCAGCTTCGAACCGTCACCCTCGAACGGTGTTCCACTATAGTTCGGGGTAACTTCGACCGCAGAGATGATGGAGCACTTAATTGGACCATATTGCTTCACGGCTGGATCGACAGGATGAGTCCAACCGCCGGTCATTTGCTAGTGGGAGCTTGCTTCGGGGAAAGATGTGGAAAGTTCAACTCTGGCAGGAGGTTGTCATTCTACACTCCAAAACTTCTTAAAGGTGCAGCTACAGAAGTTGGAAGATGGATGGCTTCTCCTCATCCAAGGAATACTTCCATCCTTCCTTGGGAAGTTCTAGATAGGCAGTTTGGCTGTTTGGGGTTATTATGAATAAGGATTGTTGTATTAACTCCAGTGACGTGTCATCTTAGTTAGGCCAAGTGGGTCAATTTGTACCAACGTGTCATTGAAGCTTCTTTATTCTGAACCACAATTTTCATGATATCAGAGCCTGACCAGATCAGGGTGTCTCCGTGTCTCTTCATTGAGTGCTCTTTGTCAAATGTTCTCTGTCTCCGACACCCGGTGAAACTACAACATTGTCGTCCACCGTCTCCGACGCTGTTGAAGCTGCAATATCTTCATTCTTGGCACAATCCATTCCCATGTTTTCTTGAAGTTGAAACAACTGCTATAACTCTACCTCGTATCATGCCTCCTCATCGGAGAAAACTACCCAACGTGGCAATGTATTAAGAGCAAACAACARGTTCTGCCTGGTGGATGCTATGTTGGTTCACCCAAATGCTTCTTCAGCTGAAGATAGAGCATGGATAAAATGCAACTCCATGGTTATATCATGGGTTTTCAATTCACTAGCCATGGATGTAAACAAGCAAAGCATACTCACACCCCTTTCCCAATAAGCMTGTCTCGAGCTCAAGCACCATTTGATTTGATACACTATGATATATGGGGGCTTTATTGTGTTGCCTCTGTTTCAGGCACACGTTTCTTCTTGACCATAGTCGATATCATAGAACATGGGTATTTCTCATGAAGCACAAATTTGAAACATATTTGTTTCTTGTAGCCTTTTGTTTTTGTAATATGATTCGCACTCAATTTTATCTATTTTTTCTTGAGTCCTATGCTTAACTTTTATAACCAAAATGATATTACAGAGAACCAACCTGTGTTTGATTCCCCTCAGCAAAACGGGGTCACTAAAAGAAAGCACTAACACCTTTTGGAGGCTGCTCGGGCATTACGATTTCATGCTGTATTACCAAAGTTAATTTGGGGAGAGTGTGTTTTCATTGTAGCCTACATTATCAATCATTTGCTTGCTATCCCTCTTCAAGGCAAAACACCATATATAYGAAGTTTTATTTGGTAAGCCTCCCTACTTATGATCACATGCGTACATTTGGGTGMTTATGTTACGCTCAAGCACGATGGTGTTTCCGAAAGCGTGTCATTAATCA